CGGTGGCGACCCCACCCCCACTGCGAAGGCCACTGTGGATACTTTGGTGGCTCATGTGCCAGTCGAGAATGGACCGAGCCAGGAGGAGGAAATCTTGGATGAAGATGTGAAGGGGGACCCAGAGGCAGAGAATGACTCGGAGGTCAGAGTTGTATGCAGCCAGGAGCACTTCTCTACCCCGGGGGAGGCTAGCCAGCCACTGCAGTCAGAGCTTGGTGAATCACAAACAGGAGAGGAGGCCCCTGGTAAGTTGCTTTGTTTTTGGGAATCACTGAGGCAAGTTGTTGGGGGCAGGAGGGTTGCAGAAAGCAGGCTTGTGTCTGTATGGTGCGCGTACCACCACATGCCTTGTCTGAGCGGTGGAACAGGGTGTTGATTGACTCCCGCACTTCACAGGAATCTGCCTCAAAGATCTACATGCAACTCTCATGGAGATACTGGGCAATCTGCTGCTGCAGGTTCTTTGGTAGAGCTGCTTTGTTTCTTGCCCCATTAAGTGGCCCTGCGCCACTCTGCTGTCACTCGGGGGGAACCATTGCTGCACACAGGCGAGATGCATAAGGGCCAGGGTGGAAGCCGCAGTCTTGGAGAAGACCCTCCCTTGATTCCCTGCTCACCCTCAGCAGCAAGATATCTTCCATAATGAACACAACTTGTGGAAAATATGGGGACAGGAATAATTATAAGGCCCCTCCTCAATGCTGGCTCTCCCCAAGAGCCACATGCCGAGTGTACAGTAAGGTCCTGGAACACTGATTTCCCCTGCCCCTGCGGTTACTCACCATTTTCGGGATCTTATGGCTCATGTGTGCTTGCCTGGGTCAGCCAGTTAGTGACAGGTATGTGAATAGTGGCTGTGTTTTAAGTCAGTGGTCTTTGTGTTGCAAACAACACTGCTTCTGTAAAATGTTGCATTTTGGCTTCATAGATATGATCTTGGGAGCCCAGCCTCCCTCTTTGTTATCGCTGGCTGAACGGCTGCGCAGAATGAGAAAGCGGCCACGAAGAATGAAAGAGGACTTTCTGCGTGATGTCACGATGCACTCCCCGGCCGAAAAACAAGAATTGAAGGAGTGGCAGGACAGCGAGAAGAGGGACTGAAAAAAGAACACGGCGCGCCAGAACAAAGCCAAAGAGCACCTCTTAGGCTCCAGGCGCTACTACCGGTAGCACTACAAACCGAGCAGCTCCGTGCCTGCTCTCCCCTGCAGCTGCTGTCGCAAAACTCTTTCCCATGCACCCCCGAGACTCTGCCAACACACTCTTACCAACCTCCTGGCTCCAGGCTGTACCCGCTGCATTCCACTCCTGCCCCGTCACAGTCCAGCCCTGCGGACTCCCACTACCCACTGCACTCAACACCCATCCCTCTGCAGTTTATGAAGTACAGTACCCACTGCACTGTACTCCAAAGGAGAAGGATGGATATGATACCTGGACATACACAAATCTTTAACTGTCCCAGGACCCCACCTCCTCCCTTCCCCCATCCCCCTCAATGCTGATGTGTTCTTTTGTTTTTCTCTCTCCTCCAGTTGTTGTTTTTTAATAAAATAATTGTTTTGGTTTGCAAGCAATCTTTATTCCATTAATTGAAAGCAAACAGAGCCCTGTAAAGCAACAGGCAATTTTCTTAATATTCTTCATAGTGCATTGTCTGCAACAATCACAATCACCTCCTAGCATTACAAGCACTGCAATCCAGAGCATAGCAACAAATATTAGTGGATTTCAGCTTTAAATTGCTGTCTCAAGGCATCCCTGATCCTTATGGCCCTGCGCCATAGGCGCTGACTCCGTGGGTGCTTTGGGGCTGGAGCACCCACGGGGAAAAATTGGTGGGTGTTCTGCACCCACAAGCAGCTCCCTGCCCCAGCTCACCTTTGCCTCTGCTCCGCCTCCTCCCCTGAGCGCGCCGCTGTGTCCTGCTTCTCCCCCCTCCCTCCCAGCGCTTGTGTCCCGAAACAGCTGTTTTGCGCGGCAAGCAGTGGGAGGGAGGGGGAGGAGGAGGAACACGGCACACTCATGGAAGAGGTGGGGCTGGGGATTTGGGGAAGGGTCCAATAGGGGCAGGGAGGGGGCGGAGTCGGGGTGGGGCCGGGGGGGGTGCGAGCACCCACCGGTGCCAAGGAAAGTTGGCGCCTGTGCCCTGCGCTCCTCTAATAGCCCTGGTCTCTGGCTGTTCAAATTCAGCCTCCAGGTGCTAAGCCTCAGTGGTCCAGCCCTTAGTGAAGCTTTCACCCTTCCCTTCACAAATATTATGGAGCGTACAGTATGTGGCTATAAGTATAGGAATATTGTCATCAGCCAGGGCCAGCCTCCCATATAGGCAGCGCCAGCAGGCCTTTAAATGGCCAAAAGTACACTCAACAGTCATTCTGCACTTGCTCAGCTTGTTGTTGAACTGCTCCTTGCTGCTGTCAAGGTGCCCCGTGTCTGGCTTCATAAGCTATGGCATTAAGGGGTGGACAGGGTCTCCCAGGATCCCAGTGGACATTTTGACTTCCCCTCCGGTGATCTTCTGGTCCAGGAATAAAGTCCCTGCTTCCAGCTTCCTGAACAGGCCAGTGTTCCGAAAGATGTGTGCGTCATGCACCTTTCTGGACCAGCCTGTGTTAATATCTGTGAAACGCCCACAGTGATCCACAAGCTCCTGAAGAACCATAGAGAGCATGAACACCGCTCCAAATACTGCTGTAAGTGTGAACACACTATTGCGCAGGCAGCTGACAGTGTGAACACACAACAGCGGTTTCCCTGCAGCACTCTCTGAGTGGTGTTGTAACTGCTGGCGATGTAACTCTGCCAGTGTAGACATACCCTAAATTAAAACTTCATCTAGTTTAGCTTTTTAAAAAACCTAAACAAAAGGTTAACAGTGACTCCTTGGGCCATAATTACCACCCAGTCCCCTTCTACAGATTTTTAAGCTCTGGGTGTCAAACGTGTATCTCATCCATAGGTGCTGGATGGTTTGGAATCCTTAGGTGCAGCTTGGATGAATAACTTTTTCCAGGTAATCAATTTCCCCAATGAGAGGACTTTGATCATTCCTATAACAATTATCATTCCGGTAAATATTGGGCCTGATTGTTCATGCTCACACATTTACAAAGCTTGCAACATCAGTACTACTATTTTTTCAGTGGTGGTTATAAATGATTTGTCTTTGTTTTCAAGTTCTAAAATGCCACTGTCTTGTGGCAGACACTTCCAGATTTAATAAAGAGAGTTTTGCAAAACCCCGGTAGTTTCAATTCACAAGGAATTTCACTTTGAGTTTCTTTGAATCTCAAAATCAAATAGTTTTGGCCTGGTTTCATTGTGATTTCCACCTGATACTGTAATTTGGTTCAGGATAGATTAAACAAATTTTGAGCAATCTGAGAACATGGATTGCATTTTGAGACTGTAATTTGAGTTGATAAGGGGTTTAATTTTGCATAGCTGTGCTTATAGTCCCTGTGTGTTGTATTGTGTGTGTTTAATGTGTATGATGCATATTTTGGTGCTGTGGTATGTACAATGTTTTATGTATTGTGGTGTTTCCTGGTATCTTTGTTATGGTTTGCTAAGCTATGTGGTGTGTTATGGTGTGCTGTAAGTAGTATGATGTTTCTGGTGTATGCTGTGGAGTTAGACTGGCAGACTTCATTTTTGCAAAAAATAATGTCAGTGGAAAATATCTGTTTATTTTTAAGCATTTATTATTTTACATTTTCACAGATATGCAACATAATGGGTTTTAAATATTTTAATTTTTTTATAGAGCTAAATTTTCATAGTTATGGAAAATGATGGGGCGTGGATCATTATTTTATGACAGTAGACACTGAGATTCACAAAGTTAAATTTTATAACCATTAAAACAATAATGCCTGGTCTACACTACTGAGTCAGGTTGACATAAGCTGCCTTAAGTCAACCTAACTCTGTCAGTTTCTACCCTGCAATGGTGCTCCCGCTGATGTAAGTCACCCACTATCTTGACTTAGGCTATGTCTACACTGGCAACTGAACGACAAAACTTTTGTCTTTCAGAGGTGTTAAAAAAACACCCCCCTGGAAAGACAAAAGTTTTGCCAATGACAAGCGCCAGTATGAACAGCTCTTTGTTGGTGTGAGGTGTAGCTGTGCAGGTTTGATGTGTAGCTGTGTGTGATCTGTTAGGTGGGGTGAAGCTGTGCGGGGTGTAACTGTGCAGAATGTGGGGTGTGGCTGTGTGGGGTGTGAGGTGTAGCTGTGTGTGATCTGTGCGGTAGGGAGTAGCTGTGCAGGGTTTAGCTGTGTGGCGTGTAGCTGTGTGTGATCTGTGCGGGGTGAGAAGTATAGCTGTGGTGTGTGAGGTGTAAGTGTATGTGATCTGTGCTACGGGGTGTAGCTGTGCAGGGTGTGAGGTGTAGCTGTGTATGATCTGTGCTGCGGGGTGTAGCTGTGTCAGGTGTAGCTGTGCAGGGTGTGAGGTGTACTGTTTGTGATCGGTGTGGGATGTAGCTGTGTGAGTTGTAGCTGTTCTGCGGGGAGTGAGGTATACTGTGTGTGATCTGTGTGAGATGTAGCTGTGCGGGGTGTGAGGTGTACTGTGTGTGATCTGTGTGAGGTGTAGCTATGCTGCGGGATGTCGGGTGTAGCTGTGTGTGATCTGTGCGGGGTGAGAGGTATAGCTGTGGGGTGTGAGGTGTAACTGTATGTGATCTGTGCTGCGGGGTGTAGCGGTGTGAAGTGTAGCTGTGTGGGGTGAGAGGTGTAGCTGTGTGTGATCTGTGCTGCGGGGTGTAGCGGTGTGAGGTGTAGCTGTGCAGGGTGTGAGGGTGTGGGGTGTGAGGTGTACTGTGTGTGATTGGTGTGGGATGTAGCTGTGTGAGGTGTAGCTGTTCTGCGGGGTGTGAAGTGTAGCTGTGTGAGGTGTAGCTGTGCGAGGTGTACTGTGTGTGATCTGTGTGGGGTGCGGGATGTAGCTGTGTGGGGAGGTGTACGGTGTGTGACCCGCGCTGGGGACTCGGTTGCCGTGGTGCCGCAGGCCCTGCAGCCAGTGGCTCAGGGCGCTGCGGCCCCTTTAAGAGCCGGAGCCAGGCGAGCAGGCCAGGCCCGGCTGTGAGCGGAGGAGCCGGCACAAAGTTTTCCCTTTACGGCTCCGGGAGCAGCGGCCCGGGCGGGCGGCACCGAGCGCGGGGGGAGCCAGGGCCCGGGGGAACCGGTGGCCGCAACTAGGAGCCGCGCGGAGCCGTCCCGGCATGAGGAAGAGCCGCGGCCGCTGCATCCCCGAGCTCGGCCCGGGCTTCCCTTGAGAGCCAAGCGGGCGCCCCGCCGCAGCCGCTTCCCCTGCCCCTTCGGAGAGAGCCGCCTGGCAGGGCCCTTCCCAGCCCCCGGGGAGAGACTCGGCGCCTGGGGCCTCCCTGACTCCCTCCCCCCGGTGCGAGTGGTGCCCTTGTACTGAGCGCCCCAGTGAAGGTCGGGGGTGGGGTTAGTGGCCCTCTCCTAGCCCTGCCCCCCCCCGAGCCTGGGACAGACACCTGCTCCTGACAGCAGGGCTCAGCCCCCCCCGCCCGCGCCCAGGGGGCTGGGTTTGTCTGGAGGTGTGTTGTGACTTCCTGCCCCACGGTTTCAGGGAAGCAGCTCCCTCCTCTGCTCCTAGGCCTGCTCTTTGTCACCCTTGTTTTAATGACTGGTTGGGGTGATTGGCTGAGATGAAAGTGACTGTTTCTTTTGGGAAGACGGGGATTGTGGTTCCCTGTAAGGATGGGCGGCTCCGTGTCAGAGACTTAACCCAGCAGGCTCTTCAGAGATACCTCAAAACCAAAGAAAAGGTAAGACAAAAACACACCACATTACCACATCCACTTCACACCAAGATCACTTAAGAACACTGCACCTTTATACCAGACAGTCTGCTTATAGAGGAGACTGTATGTACCTGCAATATATTATTAGTTAGCCCAAGTATACGGTGGATTTTTTCATTTAAAGGTGTGCATTTTGCAATTGGTGACTTTACAGTTGAAATAGTAGATGGCTATGAGAGGAATGCTGAATCTGCGGGTTCAGAATGAGATGCAGCAGAGACACCGAAGACCAGAACTACTCAGCTTTGAAACAGAAGTTGGGTTTCAGTAGTTACTGTAATAAATAAGGACTAGAAGTCAGAGCTTGGTGGACTAGTGTTGTGAACAACACTGTCAAATAGTTGCGTGAACAGTTGATAATAGACAAGCTAAAAATGTGTTCCATTAGTCTAAATGTGTAAAGTTTCTTGTATTTTAGATTGTATGTTGTGCCACAGACGCTGTGCCACAAAGATAACTTATTTATCTACAATAAAGTCTACGTAGTGTGGTAGGACTTAGGCTCAGACCTTATGATCCTAGGGATACTGCATGAATAGAGGTGCCACTCTTCAGATGAATGTTGATCAAGGCTTCTTTTACCTGGGTCTGGTTGAGATTAAAAATAGTAGGACTGGCCAGTGAATAATTTCAGTATGGTACTGATCAATAGTTTCTGTTCAAAGACCTGATTTTGCAAGCACTTGTTCAGATGAATAGTTTGTGACTTCATTGAGACTGCTCCCATGAGTAAGGGCTTGCAGGATTGGGTCTTCAGAGAGTGAGGGAGATGTGAGTGCAAAAGGGCAATCAAAAACCCATGAGACTTGATTACTTCTCTGTTGCTGACTCATTCTGTGACTTCGGGCAAATCATCTGATTTCTCTGCCTTTGTTTTTCTCATGTGTAAAACTGGGATTATAATATTTACCATCCCTTCATAAGAGTGTTTTGAATATTAATATATGAAAACTTCTACTGAAGTGCTAAATTTATTATTGTACAAATCTGTATTAACTGTGGTAGTTACAGTGACTTCCATGTTTACCTACACAAGCACCTGTAGTTCTTTGGCTATCATTGGCTATCTTTGGCATATTATACAGTATCTCCCTATGTGAGATACTGTATAAAACAGGACTACTGTATTTCTTTTCTATCCATACTGGTACATCGTGTGTATCTAGATAATCACTACTATGTATTGAATCAGCTGAGGATTAAATATTGTCATAATAGTGTTATGGAAATTAGCAAATATTATTTAGGCTTTGGGCCATCAGGATGGCTCAAACTGTACAAATATGCATGAACTTTGCATTAATGCTGAGGATTTATAAGAAGCAAAAGGACTTTTGGCCTAGGTAAACTTCTTTTAAAAAATATTGATTTCAGCTCTCTTCTTATGGTGGTGAAGTTTTGGACTCAAGTGCTGAGCCATCTGAACAACTAATGAGGAAAGTTTCAAGGTGACCTGAAAAATTTGGCTTGTGCTCTCTCTGCGGTGTGTGAAGAAGGACCAAAAGAAACAAGCAGGAAAAAAACGTATTCTAGATGGGCAGATCCTGCCTAGTCTAGAATTCTTTCTTTGATGGCTGGAGAATTAATGAAATTATTAACAAGTGTCCAGAATGAAGGCTGAACAATTGAGTGGATTTTTTTTAGACAGACTGTCAAACTGTTTGTTTGTTTGTTTTTGTTAATACCTACTTAGTTAATCAAGTGAGACAAGGTGGATGAGGTGATATCTTTTATTGGACCAACTTCTGTTGGTGAGAGAGACAAGCTTTCGAGCTTACACAGAACTCTGTATCTCTCTAGTATCCTGGGACCAACATGGTTATAACAACAGTATATATGGTTAAATAATGTTTCAAGAAAAGATTTATTTTTTTTTGTTAAAGATTCAACACCTCTGCCCCCTTAAGTTAAGGTGTGAGAACTGACCCTATATACCTCTGAAACATCCAGTAGGTTCTTCAGCCAATCTTGGGGGAAACCAGATGTTGCATTCTTGATATTTCTAAGATAAAACGAAGCAAAATCCATTCTCACATTTCTCATCCCTTCTCAAACTTTTCAGGCTCTCTTTATACATCATAAGGAAACCAAAAAAGTTTATTTTAAAACTCTGGTCAGCTTTAATGTTGGTAATTTGAAACTACAATAAATGCACATAATAGGAAAAATCAAAAGAAAACAACGTAAGAGGCTCAAACAGTACTGACCAGATTTGGATTTAAATCTCTAATTCAGTGGTTGAGATTATGGTGTGTTCCTTTTCTATTTCACCGTGAGTTGCACAGTTAAATTTCTATGCACTTCTTTGAATAGCTGGTTTCTGGCAAATCTTATTGGCTGTCTTAGACCTTAATGCAAAATATTAAGTAACTTCAGTTTATTTAGCTAAGTATCATTGGAGGTTGTACTATTAGAAGAATTCCAAAGAATTATTACTGTTGTATTTTGGGTTGTTTAATTATACACTATATAGAATTCACTAACCATTCTAGTGGGCCTGTGATTTTTTTCTTTTTCTTTTTTTTTTCATTGTCTAACATGGATGGATTAGGCCTGTTATCACTTTATTCCCAATTTTAAAAATATAATTAATACACTTACAGATGTTAATATTAGTAAAAATATGAATACAGACTTGGGACCCTGTAGCACTAGTCACTACCTGAAATCTGCTGTAAAGTATGGGCATATAATACGTGTGAATTTCTAAAAGGCTTGTTATTAAAGACATTTACTGACTTAAGTTTAAAAAATATGTATTTAGAATGTCTGGATCACTTTATTTGGATTGAAGTTAGAGTACAGAATAATAGTGATAACACTCTAAAACTGTTTCTCATATGATTATTGGAGTGTAAATAACTTAAAATGTATCAGGTTGGAAAATTGAGTTAAGAAAAGGGCCAGAAGTATGTAGCGATGGGATAGGGGAGGAGGAAAGTAGACACAGAAGGGGAATGTACCAAAGTTTGAGAATGAGAGGTTTGGGAAGGAAGAGAGTTGGAGAAGGCCAATTTAGAGAAGACACTTTTTTTTTTAATATTAAATAAAACAACTATAGCACCACATTTTACAATACTCATAATGTGTATGTAAGGTTTTAATTCCGTCTTGGGGATTCTACTGATATAAACAGACAACTTGAACTTTGCATTTATTTCTTATCTTGCCATATTCATTTGATGGAATTCCAGCCTTTGATAAAGCTGAGGGTGTGGGGGGAGTATTCTTTTTATGTATGTTGTACAAGTACTTTTACTATTATTTTTTATATTAGTCATATCATATTTGTGATAGGGACAAAAATGTACAGTAAATTGATAGCTATTCCACTTCAAAATGATTTTGCAAATAAATAACTGAAAGTCTTGGAGGAACTTTACTTGCTATTTTATTAACAAACTTGGACTGATCTCATGGCAAGATTTGACCATAAAGGCTCATTAACAATTACTGTTAATAAGTCAGAATTATTTTATTTATCAGCTGTAAAGTCATGCAATAAGACAATTTTTCATTGTTGTGCATGAAGGTCAACTATTGGGACAGAATTCCCAATAAATAGGTGCAATTTTAAATGGTCAAACCTCTTGCTCTACATCCCAATTGACTCAACAGAGATTAAAAAGAACTTTACTGGACACTTAAATTCCCCATAAAACATAGAGGTAAATTCTCCCCATGAAAATATCAGTTAAAAAAGGTTGTTATACTTAGGAATTTTATGTTCAGAAAGAAGAGAATTCCAGATATTTTTGAAAAACAACAAACTGTGTGTGTGTGTGTGTGTGTGTGTGAGAGAGAGAGAGAGAGAGAGAGATGCGGAGAGAGAGAAATTTATAAGAATTCTAGTACTTGTTTTCTTGAGAATCAAGATGTATTGTTCTGAGAAGGCAATGTCTACTTTTGCTTCATCTCAGTCAATATTTACCTCAAGTAAACAAATCTTCAGTACAAGTCAATATCTACTTTTATTATTGTTTTTGTTTTGTAGTGTGTAAATTAAGGTTTCCTATGTCTAGTTATACCCAGTAGGACTAATAGGCAGGGCTTTGGAGTGGAGCCCGGAGCTGGAGTGCGGAGCAGCTCCGGAGCAGTGAAGCTGCAGGTTTTTGCCTGGAGCTGGAGCGGAGCCGGAGCACAGCTCCAAAGCCCTGTAAATAGGTTCATATAATCTTTCTGAATGCCTCCATACCATCTCTTACTTCACTTGGACCACAGCTCAGAGAGCCAAGAAGCGATCTCTCTTTATTTAGATATTTCTACTATCTTAGGATATGTCTTCATTGCATAGCTAACTAGTTACCTCTCTTGAGTTAGTCAGGCTTCAGTGAGAGAGGCCACACTGCAAAATAACGCTTGAGTTGCTGTGTTTGCTTGTGTGCAGTGCTAAGACTTCTAAGGGTAAATATCATGGGAAGTAAAAGTGAGTGAAATTCTTTTGGACTTTTTTTTTCCATGCCAAAGTGTATATCTGCCTCTGAAACATTTTGCAAATTTGACACAAATTTGCAAAATAAGTTTGTTTTTTTTTTTTTTTTAAACTTAAAACAGACAGAAAACAGCACCTTAAAAAAAAAATCTAAACACTTTTAAAATACGTTTTTAATTCTGTTGCAAAGTGAATTTTTTTGCTTCAGGGTTTTCATGTTTTGGATAAAATTACTCTAACACTTAAAATGGTCAAAATCTAAATAAAATGTTTAGTTTGACCCTAAATGATTATCTCTTCCCCTCCCCCCACCTGAATTGCCAGCAAATGGAAAATCTGTTATTTGCCCAGCTCTAACAGTAAACCAAGTCACTTTCTGAATTCTTTCCCAGTGAATTGTGGGAGAATTTGTCTATCTTTTTAGGGTACGGAGGGAATTCTAGGAAGGTACCCAAGAATTCCAAATGCTTGAGTGCTATTAGCTTGTGTCTGAACTGCAGAGTGTTTGTGTTAGCAGCTGTTGCACTGTGCT